ATCAAGACAGTGGTGTACACTCAGAAATGGCCAGTAAGGTAGTTTCCAGAAAACCAATTTTTTCTTCCAGTTTGTTGAGTTCTCGAAGTATCGCAGGCCCGTCTCGATATTTTGGAGCTAAGCGTTTCTCAATAGAACCATTGAAATCTTTTATGTTCCTGCGGTAAGGGTGATCCTTAGGTAGGAACCTATGGTGTTCCATATAAACTATCTTTGAGTTATTTGGCAGATTTACCACATCGGTGTCGTCCAAGCACTCGACACATCCAGTATAGTCTTTTGTCTTCTCTCCGGACAATGAATCTCAACCTGGTAGGTCGGTGATTGTAGCGGTAAGTACTCCCTTGATCGTGACATGTTCCTTTTTGTACTCGTCCCAAACATCCGGCACACCATTTTCAAACATCTCCACTAGTTCATCGATCACTGGTTCCAGAAACACATCGATGTCATTCCTAGGTTGTCTTGGCCCTTAGATCAGTAGTGGCATCTAGATGTACGACTGCTTCATACAGACTCAAGGTGGAAGGTTGTATATACAGAGCGTCACAGGCCAGGTGCTATGATTGCTTCTAACCTGGTCGAAAGGATTCATCCCATCTGTGCTCAAAGCAAACCAAAGGTGCCTTACCTCTCCACCGATGTCCTTATAGAACATAGTATTGATAGTCCACCAGTCATACCCATCAGTGAGGTGCCTCATCATTATATCTTTCTTACGCTCTTCGCCATGTCAGCGCAACAGCTTGGCTGACTTTGCACATGCAAACAGCCTATGCACCCGGGGAGCTATAGGGAAATACCAAACAACCTTTACGAGACCTCCTCTGGTCTTGGTACCCTCATCTGACGGTCCTTCCTTGTACCGTGGAGCTTCACACTTAGGGCACTTGTCCAAGTCTTTGTATTTTTCTCCACGGTACAATATGCAATCATTAGAACACGCGTGGATTTTTTCAACCTCGAGGCCGATGGGGCAGATCATTTGCTTGGCCAAGTATGTCTTTTCTGGCAACTCGTTTTTTTGGGAGCATTTTCCTTATTATATCTAACAACTGGTCGAAGCCTTTATCGCTCAATCCGTTTGTCGATTTGAACTCTAACAACATGATGTCGGCTTCCCGTTTGCTCATTGGACAATTCCTATGCAATGGTATTTTGTCATCTTGTCTCATTTTCTCTAGCTTTCTCAGCTGTCTTTCACTAAGACATACGGTCTCTATATTATGTAGCAGCTGAGAAATGCCAATGTTATCCTTAGTGTCGTCAGCTAGCGTGTTGCTAAACACATTATTAACTATGGCCATAGGTTCCGTGTTGACACCGGGTTCCTCGTCAGCATCGTGGATGGCTACATCAGGCATGTCCACATCATCATCGTTTCTTTGCAGAACATTCAGACCAACCTCGTCATGCATAGTCCATATCGTATAATTTGGCATGAACCTCCTGGTAATCAAGTGCGGTCGTATAGACTCAATTTGACGAAAGTTCCTATGATTCTTGCAATCTTTGCATGGGCAGAGGACAGGGTTCCCATTCCCAGCATGGGCTTTGGCATCGGTGATAAACTGGCTGACGTCATGCATGTATCGCTTGTCCGTTCGGGACAGATGCATCCACTCTCGATCCATCTCTGCACAAAAAAATACTGATACAGTAATTACAAATAATTAATAAGAAATCGAGCTTCATGAACAACGATTGTAGCTCGAAAGTACCATTTTTGAAAAACATTATTGTACACTAATTATTGAAAATTTTGAAATTGTTAGCCCCGGCCCTGTAAATTGAAAATCATAGTAAAAAATAATTATTGCACAATATTGAAGAACAACTATTCTACTCTACTTCTAAGAACTAATTATAACATCACATACTAACAATGGTGATCTTGACCACCATGGAATAATTAGCTAGGAATTTAAATGTGTTCATAGACACCAACATTTTGGATGATGGATTCACCATAATTTGAGCCTTGCACAAATGTCCAATTGGAAAAGTGCTCTCTAGAATGAAGAAAGAACTAGAATGAGAATCAAGCAATGTAGCTATCAAAACGAAGCTAATTAAGCAACAAAATCAAAGGAGTGGATGCTTGTTACTAACCTTAAAGCAAAAAGATCAAGCCATTCTTCAAAATCCAAGCACTAGCTTTATGGTGAAGAGCAGCCGCCACAATGGGGGGAAGGGTCCAAATGTGCGCCTCTGTTCTCGGGATGGAAGAGAGGAGGAAGGAGAGGACGGCTGTAGCCTTTTTGTGTTGTAGGCTTATCAACGTCGGTTCTTGGTTAGAACCGACAGTGATAGTGCCCAATCACTGTCGGCTCTTGGCTTAAACCGGCAGTGATGAGTGCCCGCCAAAACACTACCGGTTCAAGCCAAAAACCGGCAGTGATGTGGTCCTTCACTGCCGGTTTTAGCCTAGCACCAATCATTTTTTCATTTTCAAGCTCATAACCGACAGTGAAGGTACATCACTGCCAGTTCTTACAAATTCGGCAGTGATGAGGCCGGGAGTAATGTGCAAATCTGGCGTAGTGCAGGATATATGGGCTCTGGATGGGGGAATTTTGTTTCTTCCTTGATGTACCATATTCTCTGCATAAGACCAGTTATTACTGTACCATATTATTCCTTGATGTAATTTTAGGCACATATACACAGTTGCATTTAGTAATATAAGTGAATATTACCTGCATCAGGAATCTGATTAAAATTCATTCTCTCCGCAAGAGACTTTGTACCAGGCCACTACCTGGTATATACGTACCTGCTCTAGGTCCCCGCGAATATACCATCACTGGATGCCCTAGGTCCCCGCGAATATACCATCACTGGATGCTCCCCTCTCCCTACACCTACCAAACAAGCAGGCAATGAAGCAAGCAGCTGATGAGCCTCAGATCCGATCCAAAGCACCAACCAGCAGGAGGGTCTAGTGGTTAATTGTTAAAAAATGGACAGCTTTAAGCTCTTGTTCATCTGGTTGTTTGTACTACTCAAATGAGCTACTGCTATTATATTGACCAAGGGAGAAGCAAGGGACCCCACTATAGTGCACCAAATGATTAAGCACCCAGAAAAGTGCAAAGGAAGGGCATGCACCAAGATTCCATCTCCTTTGTATTCTCTTGCCTTTGGTGCGTGGGGGAGGTTTTGGGTGGGTGGGGGGGCGGGGGAGTTCATCTTTGTTTGCTGCTGCAATTATGCCCCCAACAACAAGTTGATGTGTGCCTTTTGACTTGTTTACATGACTGTGTAAGTCATAGCAGATGGATCAGATAGCATTTACCCCGATTGATACTGCGACATACGTTAGAAGCAAATATTAATTAGTACACAGCAACATTTGGCTATATGTTGCATGTGTTTAATCCATTACTATTGCCTTTGTAACATCTGTTGTACCAATATATGTCATGGTGTGCAAAGAAAGAGGTGAAAACGACTGCTGGCTAGCTGTGTTAGTCTGCACTTTGCAGTTTTCAAAAGGAAAGGAGAGGAAATAAAAGTAAAAGGAAATATCATTAGCTCATAGCAGCTAGAGGTTAGATGCTAGAAAGAGAGACTCCATCTGCATGGAAACGGACAGGAGTGAGGACTGACATGGCAAATGTACTTTTTAAGTCATATAAATGAACTTTTGATCCCTTTATTTTCCATGAGGGAAGAAAATACTAGCTAGCTAGCATCACCCACACATGAAAGCCTAGCTAGCTGCTAGGAATTAATCCATCCTAAAATCAGCATCAGGTTGAAGAAGAGTTGAATTCCTTGCAAAATTAAGAAATATAACAAGACGAGCAAACAATCGTGGGAGTTAACAATACATGGAACGATGATAAAATCAACATTTGTGAAAAGTAAAGGCAAAGATAAATAAAATAAAAGGGATAATTTTTACACCGGGAAAAAACGACAGGTCATATGCATGCTACTTGCATGCGCATCATGTCGTCATGTGCATGCATGGACGTAGTATGTCGTACGCGTGTAGCATGTCGTCGTGCGGATCAGGGCGAAGTAACCCCCGGAAGGAACAAAGGCATCGGACCGGACCGGACACAGTGCCGGCTGGAAGCCAAGCCAAATTCACATGTATAACATAACATTCACATGTCAGTGAGATTCTTGTATCGGAAAGGGTACCGTGTTCAGTTTGGATTTTTCCAGTCAACTAGTACAACACTGCGAACAGTACCGTCAATTTCCACAGTAGTTGCTGGAGAACAACTTTAACCTAGGTTATTACGCTGCTGTCCGAGTAACTAAGCAGCTTTGTCATGAGGGAAATTGTATATGACCGGTTCATCAGTAACAAATTTGCACATGTAGGTGGTGCTAGCTTACTCCAAAAATTTGCATATATATAGAGAAAGAACTAGTTTGGAGTTAGCAAGGAATTCCATTTGCAGGATACGTATCGAATTCTTTTGCGGAATTAATTTGTGCAGAATTGTACATTTGAATAACACATCAGTTGTAATAAGAAAAAATTGAAGTACAATAATACTATTCCCAAATTAAAGAAGGGAGATCGCTGAATGAAAGATGAAGAGCTGAAGACTGAAGCAAAAAAAAAAACAAATGAGGAGAATGAAAATCATGGTGGACGTACAGTGGGAACTGATGATGAGCGTGGGGAGCTCAGAAGCTTCCTCCAATGGATATCACCTTATTATCCTATACACATACATACTACTATGTGGTTGTCAGAGACAGTACATGCAGTGATAAACCGATGAACTACTGAAACTGAACCCAGTAGTGCCTACTACTATACCAGCATGCTAAGCTACTGATGATATAAAATATAAAAGGGTAGTAATTAATGGATAAGTGTTATTCTTCTTCTGTAAATTAACGCACGACATCAGGGAGAATAACCAGCAGGAGAATCTAAGCCCTAACTCCAGTCTGCAGCGTCCCAGGGCAGCTAGGAGCGGTTCTTGCGGTTAACTGACTGACGGTTTTACCCCTCCCCAGTCGCGTCCTCACGTTCTCACCGGCGCCCACTCGAAGCGCCCCTCCAACGGGCGGTCGAGGGCAACGTCGTAATTGTACCTGAAGAGGGAGTGCGGAGCTCCAGTCAGCCAACGACTTGTATGAACAAGCTGGATTGTACACGGCAACCCAACCGTGTGGGGGAATCAAACGCCGTGGTGCTTACGCCTCTGCAAATCGCCGGCGCTCCGCGAGCTCCGCCGCCGCGAAGAAGGCCTCTATCTCTGCTTCTGTCGGCGGCGGCAGCTGGCCGTCGACGCCACGGCAGCGGTGGCTCTCGTTCGCGTGTTTCCCCTTCACTTTCGCCGCGGCCGCGTCGCAGTCGGCAGTCATCAGCGGCGTCTTTGGTCTCCTGGTACATATTTGAAGACAATTTGAAATAATTTAAAACAACTGCTTAATTATTGTGTCCTGATGAATAATTTGTGCAACTATGGTAGATAAGATACATTGTTTCGTAAATTTGCTCGAAATTAAAAATTGACTCTTTTTTGTGACTAAAATTAGAAATCGGTTTTGTGAATTGTGATCCGTCCGAAGAATGAAAGGCAGCAGGAATGATAAAACTGCACTCACTCGAAGCTGTCTCCACGGCCGTCGTCGGCGCCGCGGGCAACGGCGTCGGCACCGGTATCTGCCGCCCGCGACGGCGGAACCTCCTCCTCCTCCGGCCGCCCGTCGTGGCAGAGCTGCTGGGCACCGAGCACCCGGCCTGCGTTCCTGCGCCGGGGGCTGCCGCACGCGCGCTGCTTGTCCGCGGCCTCGGCGCCGCACCACCGGCGGGCTGATCCGCGGTGGCGCCGCGGCCTGCCGCTCGTCCTCGGGCTGCACGCCGACGACGCGGCCACCGGCGGCACGCGGCGCCCGCTGCGCAGCGTGAGGCACAACACGGCCGCGGCCGCGGCGGGCCGCGGCTTGCTGCTGCCGCGGATCCTGACGCACTTGCCCATCGATCGGCCGGTTGGTGGGTTGCCTCGGCTGCGCTGGCGTGCAGTGCACTCTCGCTGTGCCTGTGCGTGTGCGGTGGCAGCCGCGGACAGTGGCCACCTGCCGGCGGCTTTTGTACTGGCGGCTGGCTGGCGCTACGCCACACCGTGAAACTGTGAAAGTGAGGTGCGCGCGGTGAGCCTACCTACCTACACCTACCTTGTGGGCACATGCGAAGGCTCGTCTATTAGCGTAACGGAACGGAACCGGACGGTGCGTGTTCAGCCGTTTGCTGACGTCATGACGTTGGCGAAATACAGTTGCATGCCGAGGTGCAGAGGGTTGGGGACTCTGGTATTATCGGTTTATTTGTAGCCTATATAGCTTATAAAAACTGTTTACCTTTCTTCCAAATTACAGGTAATGTGTATGTAGGTACTAGCTAGGTATATAGCAAAAGGAATTTTGTAGGAAAAGTGAAGGAAACAAAAATAAACGAAAGGAAGATGAGGAGAACGTTTGGAACAGAGGAGAACACCAACCGCTTTCCTTCGGAATTAATACTATGTATACCATCTTTGTTGTTTGACAGGAGAACAAATATTTATCCGAAGCTGTGGTTTTCTCTTCGTATGCAGAAACCTGAGGCATTAACTCGTCGAGTCATCGGATACAGAGGATTACCCATCATTGGTTGCATCTAGTCCATAACTCACTTTTTTAGATAATACGACTAGAAAAACAACACATATACTTATTATAACCTACAGGTGATACAACCATGGATAGATATCTATCGGCATGGAACTAGTGAAGCTAAATCCGCCTGCCTCCTCCGTGCGCCAGCATGCCCCAACCTCAACTTGCTCCAATGGGGTGGGAGTGGAGGGCACTGGACCGGGATTGGGTGTGTCGTGCCACAACTGCGATGGTTTGGGGGCAGGGGAGGTGGCGGCTGATGGATTGGTGTAGAGGAGGGAGGTAGCCGAAGTGGGTGTGTTAGGTTTTTTTTGGCTCCTTATATATATGCGAGTGGGTATTGGGCCCTGGGCTAGATATCCACAACTCTATAACCTATATTGTTAGTGACGGTGCACTCTTAGTGACGTTCTTTGAATCCGTCATGGATTAAGAGATTTGTTGTAGTGCTCTCTCTCCTCCATCCTCCGTGTGTTCACCAACCTCTCTCGCTTTGTCCCTTTCCCTCTCTCTCCCTCCTGGCAAAATTGCCTATCTTCCTCTCTCCCTCCCCATGATTTTTAGCACCGGTGCACCCCCCCTGGCCTCCTATGCCACTGCTCAAAACCTCCGATCGGGAATTAATGGTGGCCGCCCTAGACCTTGAGGCGGTGGCATCTTGGCACAAAGGTGGCCCTCGTGCAGTAGTGGCCCCATGACCTTAGCGTGGCTTACCCGACATCGACAACTATTTTTTTGTTTTTTTAAATAGATTTTTCACTGTCGGGTTGTTACCGCAGCCAGCAGTGATATTAACTTATCAACGTTGTGTGTGGTCACTCAATAAGACGGCCGTGATATAAACTTATCATTGCAAACCGACGTTCTTAATCTCAGTTGTCACCAATGAGAATGAAAACCGACGATAATGGGACCTCCATGACCTGTATTCTTTGATTGTAGTGGACACAGTTGATAGCAAAGATGTCCCGTCACGAAGTCAGATAGACTGTCCTGCAGTCAGCTGTGCAATGTAGTCCGTACAATTATAGGGCGCTGTTTGTTGTTCCCCATTTGTTTTGCTTTGTTGTACTCCTACGATTCAGACTTGGCAACTGTAGTAGGAGAGCCAGCAACAGCAACAGGAAACAAATGCGAGCAGCCGAGCACTCACATGCACACAAAGCCTTGGAACTCGGGACACAAAAGTCCTGAGGATGAGGAACGGATTCTGATGAGCTAGTGCAACAGCAACAGCATAGTAGCAGAGGCCCCGGTTTTGTCTCTGCCCCCACCCTGCAGGTCTATTTGATCCCAACTCCACAATCACAATGCATGGGGCCGTGTTTGGTCGGGTCACCACTCACCAGCTATCACATCACAATGCATGAACCAAGCGAACAGGGCGATAAAAACATCCAAAGGAACAATGGCGACATGGTGTCCCTGCCCTGCCCACGGTAACCGGTAAGAATAAATCTTTACCGAGGCACGCGAGAGCACACAGACACTGTCGTCATGTTCTTCACGGTTCACCAAACAGATGCATCTCTGATGGATGCATGCATGTTGCCTGTCATGGAAAGATCGACGATATAATGCTGCTGCAGCTAAGCTCTAGCATCTTCTTCGTCGACATCGCCTGCATGCATTTGAGCAATTCTCTTTTACATGGGATAGGACCAGGCTCCAGCAGGCGTGAGTAGTAGTGAGAATCCGTAGAAAGTAAGAGCACGGCAATCATGGCTGCTAGCTAGGCGTTAGCAATACCGTCAGCATGCATCAAAGTGTGGAGCTCTTACTTAGTAGTACTGATCAGCAGGTTAAGGTGCACTAACTGTGACTGACTCACTGACATGCATGCAATGCAGCTAGCACAGCAAAGCGGCGGCAGTGAAAGTGAACTAACCAAATCATGCGCGCTGATCAGGTATTCAGGTACCAACAAAGTGGCCGTTAACCTGAGGCGAGCTAGCTAGCTTTAGGGCCGCCATTATCATAAGCGGACCCAAATAAAGGCCTTTGTCACTGGGGAATCTAACGAGCACCAGCAAAACCTGAGAGGCGAAAGTGCATTTTGCCTTCCTAGCGACACATACTACTTAGCTACTGGATCAGAAGATTTGGACCTAAGCACATTGGGATGACGAATACACAGGCCACTGGATCAGAACTAATGACAACTTATTAAGGCATGTAGACTGTCAGTATATATCATCTGGTGGAAGGAATCCTAGGACGGATGAAAAGGCCGGCTGGCCACTGAAGAGTGAAGACTGAAAACTCCATGGCCAATTGGCCCCTCCTGATCTGACCTGACCTGCTGGTTCTGAACAAGATCGGTGAACCGCATTGGCGTTGTTGGGGAACAGTGGAAAAGCTGACTGATGGATGGTGGAGTGGACTGATAGATGTGACTGTGATTGGGCCGCCGGGGCCGGCTGCTGCATGGCTGTGCATGCAGATGCAGTGCAGCGAGCATCATGCATCATGCTGCTGATGAGAACGAACGAACTCGCTGTCCTGTGCGTGACGGACGAGGGATTGTTCAGCTGCATATGGCCTATAGCATTGCCGCGTAGTATGTTCTTCAGTTTCAGTCCTGCTTGTGTCTTGTGAGCTCTGCATCAGCAGGGTCGGAAATAATTCACCTAGTCTATATATCTTGTTGACTAGATTATCAACCTGTGTGAAGTGTGGACGTTGCTGCTGTCCTTGCTGACAAGCTTCTCAATGATAGATTGGGGTCACCAACAGGAAACAAATAAAATCTGCACAAGTACAGTACAGAACCTATCTAAAAAAAAGTACAGTACAGAACCCTTGGAAATAGGTTTTTGGAAGTTGCAGGGGACGAGTCCTAAGCACTTTACCGAGACCCAAGAAAGCACTCGCCAGTTCGTCGCTGTCGTAGTTCACCAAGCTAGCATATCTAATCTCCCCCTCCCGTGCTCTTCACATTAAAGCTGCCGTGGTGGCGTATACATGGGACCATGCAGCAACAGGCAGGTACGTAGTACGTACGAGAATTCACAGAAAGAGTGGAGTAAAACCTGCGGCACTTATTACGAAGGGAACTGAACAAGTGCTGCGTGCTTGCACCAAATGCGTGTGGTTGGTGTTTGGTGTGCTTCATTCAGTGCATGAGAGCTTTAGCTGCACTGAAAAGCATGCAGATGAAGAGGAAATTAAAGCTACAGAAAACCAAAGCATGCATGGACTGGATATTAAGGCGCCAAAGACGCCGTTACCCCTGGCTGAGGTGCCAAAGACGCTTTTGCACTAATGGGAAGAATATTCAAAAGGATGGTATATGATTGGGGAATGCAATCAATTAGCACCAAAGCCTGAACGCAAAACGGCAAAAGTACATTTTGCCTCCTATGATCTATATAGTAGACACTAGCAGACCTGATATGCTCCAGTCCCAATGTTTCTATCCAAGTGGCTTCAGAGGATGTATGCAGACCGTTGGATAGCAACTAGGGTAGGGCTACGGTGGACAGTAATTAACTAATTATGCACAACAAGCTATAGAAAGCAAAGAGCAGGTGCTGACAACCAAAATTGCCAAGGAACAATTGATGTCTTCAGGCTTATCTGCATGCAAGTATTGTTTGTCAACATGTTTTTGATGCATTCACTACTCCAGATCCGCCTATTACTGCCATTTTCCAAACCGGTCATTACTACTGGTGCTTAATTAGTTTGAACCGGCTGCGACAGCTCTTTCTCTTAGGAACCGAAGGTGTTTCTCTATCACTGCTGGTTCTTAAGTACTCGACAGTATGTATGAAGGGCTAAGACTGATTGAGACACACCCAAACTGAACAAACCAATATATCATCTATTTTGTACTCATCGACTCTATTTTTTTTTCAAACCCGGTTCAAAAACTACAGGTGGCGCTCTAGTCTTGCTAATGCTAACCGATCTAGGAAATCCCGACAAACACACATGCCCTGACAGAGTCCTCACGACCGAGAGCTTTGGCAGTCTTTGCTTGAAAACTAGTTGTTTATCGTCACACATGCGCAATATTTATATTTTGCTGGTATGCATGCTTGTCTATCTATGGAAGTGTGATAGTTATTCCTCTCGGGTGAATGATCTGATGAAACATAATACACAACCCAGCTAGACCATTTTTCAAATGAAAGTGCTGCTTACGATCGACACATTCTAATGCTTTGGTGTTGGTGTGCTGTCGCGACCAGAGGAAAAAGGCGACACCTCAAGGCTCATCCTCACCAGCGTCTCATGGCCAGGGAAAAAGGATCACTAAATCTGTGGGTCAGGTTCAGATAGAAAGAAGGGCCACTCATTATTGACACAGAAGACTGAA